TTTTTGTTTTTTTTTGAGTTGGAGTCTCACTCTGTCGCCCAGACTGGAGTGCAGTGGCACGCTCCCGGCCACCGCAGCCTCAACCTGCTGGGCTCCGGCGATCCTTTTGCCTCAGCCTTCCAAGTAGCTGGAACTATAGGCGTGCACTACCACACCCAGCTAATTTTTTGATTTATTGTAGAGATGAGGCCTCGCCAAGTTACCCAGGCGGGTCTTGAACCCGCGGGCTAAGGCAGTCCACTCACCTCAGCCTCCCAAAGCGCGGGATTACAGGCTGAGCCACCGAGCCTGGCTGAGAACCACTGTTTTATTTGCTTGGTGGTACATGATTGTAATAATACTTTTATCTTAATTACTTTTTAAATTTTATTTATTTATTTATTTGTTTATTTTGAGTTGGAGTCTCACTCTTGCCCAGACTGGAGTGCAGTAGCCGCTCCTGGCCACCGCAGCCTCGACTCGCTGTGCTCTGGCGATCCTTCCACCTCAGCCTTCCAAGTAGCCGGAATTGCAGGCATGTGCTACCACGCCCGGCTGATTTTTTTTTTTTTTTATTGTAGAGATGAGGTCTCGCTGCCCAGGCGGATCTCGAACCTGCGGGCTCAGGCAATCCACTCACCTCAGCCTCCCAAAGGCATGGGATTATAGGCTGAGCCCCGAGCCCGGCTGTCTTAATTACTATATAGAATCTGATGACTCCCCTAGTGTATAACTGTCACCAAGACTTCTCTCCTGAGCTCAGGTCCTGTCTCTGATTACCTTCTAGATATCTAGCAAGCATTCCTTTCTCAAAATGTCCAGCCAGAGTTCTCTTGCTGTTCATAAAAGGCAGTCCAAAATATTTGAATTAAATTGAAGAGAAAGGTTAAAAAGTTCTGATGAGTGGAACCATGAAAAATTTTTTTCCCAGTAAAAAGATCATGAGCCGGGCTCAGTGGCTCAGCCTGTAATCCCACGCCTTGGGAGGCTGAGGTGAGTGGATTGCCTGAGCCCGAGGGTTCGAGGCCCACCTGGGCAACTTGGCGAGACCTCATCTCTACAGTAAATAAAAAATCAGCCTGGCGTGGTAGTGTGCGCCTGTAGTCCCGGCTACTCGGAAGGCTGAGGCAGAAGGATCGCCGGAGCCCAGCAACTCGAGGCTGCGGTGGCCGGGAGCGGCCACTGCACTCCAGTCTGGGCGACAGAGTGAGACTCCAACTCAAAAAAAAAAACCATGAAAGTAATATACGTATAATGTTAAACTATTTAAATAATGCAAAAATAAAATTTAAGAAGTGAAAATGTCTTCTTGTCCCAACTCCTCCCAAATCTTATTCTCTAGAGGTAACACTGTTTTAAAAGTGGGTTTCTGTTTGGTGAGTTATCTTTGCAAACTTGTATAAATACATATAGGGATATATATACTTTTTTCCTCCTAAAAATAAGATCATATTACAAATCATTCTGTAACTCACCATTTACTTAATAGTACATCTTAGACATCTTTCCCTCTTATGTCAATATTAGAAAATTGTTTATTTGGAATGGATAAGACCTCACTTGTTCCATACTAGTGATTTTTCAGAGTATAGCTATCTTAGCTCTAAGGGAAAACAATTATGAAAAAGACATTTTGACATGCAGTGGATAATTTGTGCATAATTGTAATCCAGTGCTCTAAATGATTGTACCCCCCAAAATATACAAATGAGTGGGAACCATAGTTGGTTACTGTAAATATTTATGATAAACTACACTGTTTGTGTCACATGTATTATTCCATTGTGACATCGTCAATGTCAACTGATCTTTTTTTTTAACAACCCAGAATGATGACCACATCATCATTGGGCACCATGCACTATAACAAAACACTTCATTTATCACAATGATACTCTTATTTTTATTTTAATTTTTTTAGTTGGAGTCTCACTCTGTCGCCCAGCCTGGAGTGCAGTGGCATGCTCATGGCCATCCCGGTGTCCACCCACTGGGCTTAGGCAATCCTTCTGCCTCAGCCTTCTAAGTAGCTGGAACTACAGGCGCGCATTAGCACGCCTGGCTAATTTTTTAATGTATTGTAGAGACGAGGTCTCACCAAGTTGCCCAGGCTGGTCTCGAACCCCTGGGCTCAGGCAGTCCTCTCGCTTTGGCCTTCTCAAGTGCTGGGTTTACAGGCTTGAGCCACCGCACCCAGCCGATACTCTTTAATAGATGAACATTTATGGAATCATTTCCCATTTCAGTTGTTTGGATGTTTTTGATATTTAGACTCTAAGATAAATGATTATCTACAGTATAGAATTAGCTCATCCTTTTTTAAAGATTGCATAATATTTTTATAGTATGCGTTTGCCAAATTTTATTTGAACATTCTCATGATCATCTCCTTGAGGAGAAACTTTGAAATAATTTTATTTAGCTGTACAGTTAATTTAGTTGTAAATGATCTGTAAATAGTTAATTAAGGAACAAATCTATGCCTGTGTTCTTCCTACATTTTTTTTTTTTTTTTTTGATCAGGGTCTCACTCGGTAACCCAGGCTGGAGTGCAGTGGCATACTCACAGTTCACTGCAGCCTTGACCTCCTGGGCTCGTTGATCCTCCTGCCTCAAACTCCTAAGTAGCTGGGACTTATCAGTGTGTGCCATCCTGCCTGACTAATTTTTGTGATTTTTATTGTAAAGACAAAGTTTTGTTATGTTGTTCAGGCTGGTCTCAAACTCTTAGTCTCAAGCAATTCTCCCATCTTAACCTCTCAAAGTACTGGTATTATAGGTGAGAGCCACCATGCCCGGCCATCTTCCTACTCTTGAATCATTATTTTTTTGTTTCCCCTTGACTCTTTTCCCTATGCATTTAAGCGTGTCTAGTTCTTTCCTTTTCTTAAGCCTTTGCTTTCTGCTTTCTTTTCACCCAAAGCATTTCGTATTTTCCCTTTATAATCCTAGCGTAAGTTTCAAACTTTTCATCTGTCACTTTTGCATCTTTATACATTCCTCTTCTACTTAACTTTTATGCTCACAGCAAGCTATCTTCTCTTATTGTCAGTTCTTACCTTCTCACCTTTTTTTTTTTTTTTTTTTTGAGTTGAAGTCTCACTCCGTCGCCCAGACTGGAGTGCAGTGGCTGCTCCCGGCCACCGCAGCCGCGACCTGCTGGGCTTCGGCGATCCTTCCCCCTCAGCCTTCCATGTAGCTGGAACTACAGGCTCGTGCTACCACGCCCAGCTAATTTTTGATTTATTGTAGAGATGAGGTCTTGCCAAGTTGCCTAGGCGGGTCTCGAACCCACGGGCTCAGGCAGTCCACTTACCTCAGCCTCCCAAAGCACTGGCTGAGCCACCAAACCCGGCTTACCTTCTCAACTTTTACCACTGCCTGGTGCCCTTAGGAAATGCCAGAGAATATACATAGTTGGCATTTTCTTCCTTAGAATAAACCAATAAACTTTTAGCCAAGTATTTGTTCATAGGAGATATCTCATTTTATTCTAAGTAGTATCCTCAGAAAGATTTGAGAGGTGATTGTATCCACAAAATAGAGACTAAGTCCTAAGAAAAGTGAGCAATCAGATTATAAGAATATGAGAGTATGTAAAAATGAAAAACATGACTACTAATTTTTTTAAGTCCCTAGAAAAGACTAAATGATATCCTGAACATTAGTTGATGACCAAATGGTGATCTAAGAATTCCATCAAAGGGTATCTCTTAGAATATAGAGCAGAAAGATGGAAAACAAGAGAAAAGCCAAATGGTTCTCTAGATCTGGCTGCACTCTAGAATCATCTCACATGCTTCTAAAAACATTGAGGCCCTGGCCTCACCACAGACCACTTAAGTCCAGACTCTGGGTGTGAGGTCTAGGCATCAGTTGATTCTGTTGTTTAGCCCAGGTTTAGAAAATAAGAAACATGAAGGATAAAAACCAAAATACCCAAAATCTGTCTAATAAGACTTCTAGAAGCAGAGCTCAGAGACATTGAAGGAAAAGAAATAATAGAAAAATCTCTGGAGATCCCCAAAGATTTGTCAATTAAGGGCCAGGATAGCAAGACCCCTGTAGGAATTAAGGAAAGAAGACAAATATCCTTGTGATGTGTTTGAACTCCAAGGGTAAAGAAGATTCTTAGGTCTTCCAGAGAAGAAAAGATGGGAGCCACAGTGTGTACTCTGGGGGTAGGGGGAAAGAAACCTTCTGGCAGAACTGATCCAATCCCAGTGTCTGCTTTCCCCCCAGATAAAGCTCTCTAGTTAATTACCCTGGCCCCCTCCTGCTCTTTCTGATGTTGACCCAGGCCTATCTTCTCCAGGCTCCCGAGGGAAGAGCTGTTCCTACAGTTGGTGTTTAGAAGGCAGTTTGCTCTTTGTTCTCTCCTTGAGACTGACCTCATCTGCTTTCTAGTTTCCAGGAATTCCTCCAAAGTTCTAGTTCAATTATATATACGTTTTCTTGTTTTCTAGCTCAGTTAGAATTTTAGAAATTTTAAAAACTTTTTATTGTCAGCCCAGTGTCATTCTAGAGAGAGAGAGCTGATGACTTAGTTCCTCAGCTCCCTCAACAAATAGAGGAAAGTCATCCTAAGGGGTTCGTTCTTTATTTTATAATATTAACATTTGGATAGTCTAATTTTTCTAGATTTTTTGTTTAATATTAATATAACACTGCCTCCTGCTTATTTGAAAACAGTAATTCATCCAACTGAGCAGCCAGAGTTAAAGCTAATTTGGTCTGTTAGCTTTGCTTTCTTTAGTAATTATTTGTACTGAGAAAAGTGGGTTTACCAAAGAATGTTCTGAAAACTCTCCTGTTAGACACTAGCATAATCTGAAGCAAGATATCTATGTTCTAACGAAGAGAGCAACACAGTAATTTACTGAATATACATGAAGAGTTAGTGGATAAGGTTTTAAATGACTTCTCTTTTCAGGAGATCTGATCGTTTGGTTACGTTAACTGAAGTTCTGAGTATGCTGTTGAAGAATTGCTAAACATACTCTCATTTTTCTGTTATGTCTCAGGTGTTTGCTGACAAGCACTTTGGAGAGTGCATGCTTATCTGGGATGTCCATAATAGAATGAACTGTGTGTTCCCTCTCTGATGTACTAGGTAGCAATCTCCTGCCTTTAGACAAGTCAGCACTATCAGCTTTATCACAGATTAATATCCATAGCTACATAGTGATTTTAAATCCAGAATAAAGCTAGGATGGGGGAAAGAAAAAAGTCTGTCTTATAAAAACAGTGAAAATTTCTCAGTCTTAAGGGTTTTTGGAAATTGCCTGTTTTTCATATAACATTCTATCAAGGAAAAAACTTTATTTGTTTTGTTTGCTGATAGAAACCTATACTCCTAATGCCTTAACTGGAATTAAGGAGAAATACCTGGAAAATTCCATTTATTTCTTAATTCTTCCAGATTTATCTGCTTTTGAAAGTTCAAAAAAGTTTGTTTTCTTGTTGTTTTTAATCTTTGTGTTTTAGTTATTCATGGTACTTCTCTTCATATACACTCAATAGTGCTGACAGCCATCCTCTGATGTTACTAAGATTACTTGCATCCCTTGAAGAATTGGAACCAAAATGAAGAGCAAATTCCTTTATCAAATGGGACTTATAAATCTGGCAGATCAATTTATACAAGTTCCCTGTTTACTTGAATTTAAATAAGCCATTGTTTACAAAGCGGCAAGGTTAGAATCAGAAGAAAATGTTTTTTAGTTGACAGTATTTTCATTTAAAAATTTAGTTGAACTCCACATGATGAGCATTCAGAGGAAAGTGTTGTCTTTGGATGTGTTTCAGTCCTGTTTGCTCAATGCTTTGTTTTTAATCTGTTGTGACATTTGTACATGTGTGCTCTCTCTGATTTGAAAGCAAGTGGCAGGACATCATGACACCTCACTCCTAAATCCTTCAGAATGTGTCTTCTAAGAATAAGGATATTACCTACATAAAACCACAATACTGTATCATATTCCAGAAAGCTAACAGTATATAGTAATAATGAGCTAATGCGCAGTTTGGTTTTCTAAATTTTTATAGTTCTCCTCAAAATGTCCTTTCATAACTTTTTGTTTCCCAATCCAGGATCTAGCCAAGGATCACTGATTATACTTCATTGTCATATCTCTGTATTCACTTTAAATCTAGAATAGGCCTCCTATCTCCCTCTTCTCTCTCTCTTTTCTCTCTCTCTGTCTCTCTCTTTCTCTGTCTCCCCCACCCCCTCTCCCCTCCATCCTTTATATCCAGGATCACCAACTCCTGGGCTGTGGACCAGTACCAGTCCATGGCCTGTTGGGAACCAGACCACACAGCAGGAGGTGAACAGCCTGTGATCAGAGCTCTGCCTGCTGTCAGATCAGCCGCTGCCTTAGATTCTCATAAAAGTAGATTCTCATAAAAGTGTGAACCCTGTTGGGAACTGCACATGTGAGGGATCTAGGTTGCGAGCTTCTTATGAAAATCTAGTGCCTGATGATTTCCATCTCCCCACACCCCCAGTCTGAGGAGAAATTGTCTTCCACAAAACCAGTCTCTGATGCCAAAAACATTGGGGACCACTGCTGTATCATTAAGATTTTTCGGAAGTCTAGGCCTTGTAGAATGTTCCACAATCTGATTGTGTCTTTTTTTCCTTAGTTTCCAGTTAAACTTTTTTTTGAGTCGAAGTCTCACTCTGTTACCCTGGCTGGAGTGCAGTAGAGTGCTCATGGCCATCACAGCCTTGACCTGCTGGGTTCAGGTGATCCTTCTACCTTAGCCTTCCAAGTAGCTGGAACTACAGGTGTGCACCACCATAACTGGCTAATTTTTTTATTTATTGTAGAAACGAATTCTTGCCAAGTTGCCCTGGCTAGTCTCGAACTCCTGGACTCAGGGGATCCTCTCAGCTCCACCTCCCAAAGTGCTGAGATTATAGGCATTAGCCACGTGCTCAGCTCTAGCTAAACATTTTTTGTAGGAATACTACATAGGTAATATGACATCTACATCACCTCAGGAGGCACAGTAATATCAGTTTGTCTCATTTTTTATGATGCTGAGTTTGGCTATGATGCAGATCACTTGTTAAGATGATATTGGTCAGATCATTTCATTGGACTTGTCCGTGTCTGTAGGGTAGTACTTTGAGACTGTGTGGTTGTCCTTTTCCAATAGCCTTTCACCTGGTAGTTTTAATTTGTTCAATGCTTTAAACCGGGGCTTACCCAGGGATCTGTTAATGGATGTCAGCATATCTGTGAAGTCCCAGGAAATTTTTTGTGTGTATTATTTTCCCAGAGATATAGTTCATGACCCTCAAAATATTTAAAAGGTCTCTTCCTGGCCAGGCTTGGTGGCTCAGCCTGTAATCCCAGCACTTTGGGAGGCCGAGATGAGTGGATTGCCTGAGCCTGTGGGTTCGAGACCAGCCCGGGCAACTTGGCGAGACCACGTCTCTACAGTAAATCACAAAATTAGTCGGGCGTGGTGGCACATGCCTGTAGTTTCGGCTACTTGGAAGGCTGAGGCAGAAGGATTGCCTGAGCCCAGCAGGTTGACATTGGGGTGGCCGTGAAGTACCACTGCACTTCAGCCTGGGCGACAGAGTGAATCTCCAACTCAAAAAAAAAAAAGTCTCTTCCCTTTTTTGTTGTGATGTGTTCTAAAAGTTTCTTTGCATCAGAGAAGTGTGTTGTGAGCAATAGGTTTCTAAAAGCTGGGAATCAATTCTGTTCATCTAATTTTTCTGATTATCTAGCCCAGTATCATGTATAGCTAGGTACTTACTTTCTGTTGTTTGTTTGAGAACGATCTGTTCTGGTCTTTTGCTTATCCCGAGCCAAACATTTGGATCTTTTGTGTTTGGTATAAACTGTACTAGAAACTAAAGCAAAGGGGCTTAGCCCCTGATTTTGGTGTTCTTTTTGAAGATTTTTGGGCACAGAAGTTTGGTTTGTGTCTTTGTTGACAGTGAAGTCAACAGTGGTCATTTGGAAATGAGTTAAAACACTACAGTATATGTTTTAGTTGTCTAATCATTAGTTGTATCAGTAAGAAATTTTTCACTGAAAAACTTTTTTGACTGTGTAGACAAGAGAGTCCAGGAGGTGACTTTAGGGAGCCTTAAGTTTGTCATTATCCTAATGTGGAATAGCTGTAGAAGTGGTTAATTCTTGATTTTTCTCTGCTCAATCTGGGAGCAGTTTGGAATTAATCATGGCCAGTGGCTAGGTATGTTTTGTTTAGCCTATTGGTTACTTTTTGCTTGAAAAAGTGTCTGTCAGGTGTTTGACAATAAAGTATAACACTTGAATAGTATACTTTAAAAATATACAATATGCTTCTTAATCCAGAGGATCACCTGTGAAAGTATATATTTTTATTCTAATTACACAGGTAAGAAAAAAGTCTTAGAGAAGTTAAAGTAGCCAACATCGAACAATTTGCAAAGAGCAGAGGAAGAACCCCCAAGTTCTATTACAAATTCCCTGTACTTTCTGTCTTATCATTCTAAAAAGTAGAGGCAATTCTAGGAAATCTAAACATGAACAAAGCATAGCTCTTACTCTGAAAGATCTTTTAAATCTAACAGTCAGATCTTCTTATAAATATAGACGACAGATTGAGGGAAGAACTAAGGATGTATATAAAAGGCAAAATGACCTCCAGATACAATCAGAGCTGGTATGGTGGAAGCAGCATTTGGTGGGAGAGAATGTTAGGGGAAGAAGAAAGAAAGTGAGAGGTGCATGGGTATGGGAAAGCACTGGACTTGTTATAGGAGTAGAATTGGTCTAGAGCATGATCTGCGTGAAAGCAAGGAAAATAAAGTAGTGGAAGCTAGAGCTAAAAGAGGTTTAGGGCCAGATTGTGAAGACCTTGATTGCCATAGGGAGGAACCTCATTTGGTTAGGTATTTTGAGCAGGAAATGAAAGATGAACCGATGATATTGATAGGTGCTTACATTTTAAAGTTATGAGCCTATGCTAATCTTTTAACATATATTATCTTGCTAATGCTTCATTGTAACCCTATGGACAGTGTACTATGTCCATTTTACAGATAAGAAACTAAGTCTTGGTAAGAATAAGTAAATTGCAAACATCAAGAGCTGGAGCTAAGACCCAGACTTGAGTCTGTCTACCACTATGATATATCGTTACTTCTTTTATCAGCTTACCCGATAAGTTTTTTTTTTTTTTTTTGAGTTGGAGTCTCACTCTGTCACCCAGACTGGAGTGCAGTGGCCGCTCCCGGCCACCGCAGCCTCGACCTGCTGGGCTCCGGCATTACTTCTGCCTCAGCCTTCCGAGTAGCCGGAATTACAGGCGCACGCTACCACGCCCGGCTGATTTTTTGATTTATTGTAGAGATGAGGTCTCGCTGCCCAGGCGGGTCTCGAACCCGCGGGCTCAGGCAATCCACTCACCTCAGCCTCCCAAAGGCATGGGATTACAGGCTGAGCCACCGAGCCCGGCTCCGATAAGTTTTGTTTGTTTGTTTTTTAGCAGTTTTATTAGCCCTACAGATGAAAGGCCTCAAAAATTTAGGTCAAGATTCAGATTTGTTTCTCTCCACAGAAATATTTAGAAAAAGGCGAAAGATTTCTATGATCTGAAGAGAAACCAGAGTATCAATAAGTTCTTCATTCTCTGTCAGGAATTTAACTATTTGGAAAAAGGTGTTTCAGAGTTCTGAGAGGACTGTGTAATCGTACTAAGGAATATGATCACTACCAACCTGACTTGTACCATTCTCTAATTTGGGACCAGAACTAGATGGGAAATTGAAGAATTGAATGATGTTTTATTTACGTGCCTAATGACATCAATACATACTCATAGCAAATTTTTTTTCATTTTCAGAGTCTAACCTTATTGGCCCTAAGTAAATCTTAGTTTGGGTAAAGATCAGTTTGTAGGGGCATTTAAGATGCACAAAGATATGGTATTTTTCCTTGATAAAATGTTTCTTTTTGACAGGTTTTCTTCTTATAAAAGACAATGACTACTGATGAAGGTGCCAAGAACAATGGAGAAAACCCAGCAGCTGCCGTTGCTGAAAGGGGAGAAGATGTTACCTCCAAAAAAGACAGAGGAGTATTAAAGGTGAGGCCACAAGGTTGTGTGACACACAGGGAGATCTGCTGTTCAGAAAGATTGTTTATAAAATCTTTCTTTCTTTTTTTTTTTTTTAGGGGACTGGGGTAGATAATGTTTCTGAGCCTTACTAATTGCTGAACACTATAGTTAGATTCTCATTTCATCTTCCTAACTCTGAGATTTTAATATTATTTAATTAGGGACGGGATCTTGTGGTGATGCCTAGGGTGGCTTCAAACTCCTGGGCTCAAGCAATCCCCCCACTTCAGCTTCCTGAGTAGCTGGGGTTTTATTTGTAATCTCACATTATAGATGTTGAAATTGAGTTGGGGCTAGGGAAATTAACTTGCCCAGTATCATATATCTTAGTCGATGCAGATTTACGTGGGATTCAGGTCCAAGTTATGTCTGACTCCAAAGGGTTATGTCTCTCTTTGTTTTTTTTTTGTTTTTTTGAGTTGGGGTCTCATTCTGTCATCCAGGCTGGAATGTAGTGGCATGACCATGGCAATCATGGCTCACAGCAGCCTCAACCTTCCATGCGATTCTTCCATCTCAGCATCCTGAGTAGCTAATTTTTATAAAGACGAGCTTTCTCTGTGTTGGAACTCTTGGGCTCAAGCAATCCTTCTGCCTCAGATCCCAAAATGCCCACTCTACCAGTCTAGGTCTCCCTATTTTCAAAGTATTTGTGTACAGATGGGTTACTATTTTAATGTGTTATTTTAGTATACTAAAGTTGGCTAATGACAACTTCAAAGACTTTTTTAAAGGAAAAAAAGCTAACTTGCAAAGTTCAAAAGAATTTATTTTTATATGCAAGTAGTGTTCCTGTGTGTAGTGAAGATATTTTTTGAGGTTTCATCAGAAAATATATCTTATTTTTGAATTAGCTTTCCTACTTATTAGAACACTGTACAATCAATCATACAATAGTTCCTTAAGACTATAATGGAACTGAAAATTCTTAGCACCTAGTGATGTCATAGCTGTTGTAACATGATAGTGAAGTGCATTACTCACATGTTTGTGTGATGCTACTGCATTGCCAGTCACATCCAATTACGTACCATACATGATACTGGAAATGATAATAGACAACCATGTTATTGGCTTATATGTTTACTAAACTATGCTTTTAATCATTATTTTAGAGCATACTTCTTATACATATAAAAAAACTTATAAAATAAAGTTATAAAATAACCTCAGGCAGGTCCTTCAGGAAGTATTCTAGAAGAAAGCATTGCTACCACAGGAGATGTTCCATGCTTGTTATTGTGCCTGAAGATTCAAGTGGGACAAAATGTGGAGGTGGAAGCCAGTAATACTGATGATCCTGACTGTGTAGGCCTAGGCTAATGCGTGTATTTGTGTCTTCATTTTTAACAAAATAAGTTTAGAAAGTAAAAGCAAAAAGTGTTCAGAAAAAAGCTTCTAGAATAAGGATATAAAGCAAGAAAATATTTTTATACAGCTGTACAGTATGTTTGTGTTTTAAGCTGTGTTCTTAAGAGAGTCAAAAAGTTAAAAATTTTAAAGTTTATAAAGTGAAGGTTACAGTAAGCTAAGCCGATTCATTATTAAAGAAAAAGTTTTAAAATAAATTTAGTGTAGCCTAAGTGCACAGTGGTTATAAAGTCTACAGTAGTGTACGGTAATGTCCTAGGCCTGCACATTCACTCCCCACTCACTCACTGACTCACCCAGAGCAACTTCCAGTCCTGCATTTTATGATAAGTGCCCTATAAAAGTGTACTGTTTTTTAATCTTTTTTTTTTTTTTGAAACAGAGTCTTGCTCTGTCACTCAGAGCAAAGTGTAGTTACACAATTATAACTTACTGCAGCCTTGAAATCCTGGGCTCAAGCCATCCTCCTACCTCTGCCTCCCAAGTAGCTGGGATTATAGGCATGTGCCATAATACTTGGCTAATTTTTGAATTTTTTTTGTAGAGATGAGGTCTTGCTGTATTGTCCAGGCTGGTATTAAACTGGCCTCAAACAATCTCTTACCTCTGCCTCCCAAAGTGCAGGGTTTATAGGCATGAGCACCCAGCCCCATTTTTAATCTTTTATACATTTATTTTTACTGGACCTTTTCTATGTTTAGATATATAAATACTTACTGTTACAGTTATCTACAGTGTTCATTACAGGAACATACTGTATAGGTTTGTAGCCTAGGAGCAATAGGTTTGTAGCCTAGGAGCAATAACCTAGGTATGTAGTAGGCTATGCTATTTCGGTTTGTGTGAGTACACTCTATGATGTTCACACAATGAAATTGCTTAATGATGCACTTCTCAGAATGCAGCCTTGTCCTTAAGTGACACATGACTGCATAGATTTTTCATTGAATAGTAAATTTTTTTTTTTTTTGAGTAGAAGTCTCACTCGGTCACCCAGGCTGGAGTGCAGGGGCACACTCACGGCCACCCAAGCATCGACCTGCTGGGTTCCAGCTATCCTTCCGCCTCAACCTTCCACGTAGCTGGAACTACAGGCATGTGCTACCAAGCACAGCTAATTTTTTTGACTTATTGTAGAGACAAGGTCTCACCATATTGCCCAGGCTCAAACCCACGGGCTCAGGCAATCCTCTCACCTCGACCTCCCAGAGTGCTGGGATTATAAGCTTGAGCCACTGCGCCTGGCCATTTGCATGCTTTTAAAAATTTGTACCACACAACAGTGTTGTGAGGCCATCAGAGCATCTCTTGATTCTTCCATTTTATATGTGAATAAAACTGAAACTGAGAGATTAAGTGACTTTAGTCCCATGAAGTAGTTATCTCTCCAACATCATTGTTACGCATATAAGTTTTGTATAGATAAATTTTGTTTTGTTTATCTTGAAAAGATTATCAGACACATTGTCAGGATTACCCATGCAGAGTTTGAGATTTCCTGTGCCAGCAACAGCAAATAAGAATCTTCAAGCTTGCTTTGTCTAATCTTGCTTATATGAAAGCCTTTCTCCTGTACCTGAATCTCTTCTGAATATAAGTGTGTTGCTATTAGCTTGCTATGTGTGAGGCCAAATTTTGGAGACTTGCAGCTATAGAATAAGGGCTTTATGCTGTAGATTTACATGATGATGTCTTCTTTCAGAGGGCCACCCAACCTTGTAGCTATACTTACTCATTCCAAATTCTAGGAAACTTCTAGAGACAGTGGAGATTCTGCCTCAACATCTCCCTACCGCTATTTAAGATGCTCCCGTTTATCTTTGCAGAGTGCCCATGCCTAGAGATCATGGGTCTCAACTTGCCTCAGACCTTACTTTGTTCTAGGGAGTAAATCTAATAACAAGATGTTTAGAATAAAAAATGTGTAAGATGGAAACCCTTTAAATCCTATCATTTATCACTGTCTAGAGTCTCAGATTTCGCCATGGGGTTTTAGGTTAAGATTAAATAGGTCTAATAACTGTGTGAGCCAGGCCAATTTAGTTCATGTCTCTGTGGCTAAATTTCCTGTTTGTAAAATTAGAATAGCAATATCACCAATCTCCTAGTTATCAGGAGTAGGTGAAGCACGTAACACAGTGCCTGTCTTATAGTATTAATATATGTAATATTAATATATAAATTTAATATTTATATAATATATTATATAACTATTTAATATATTTTCAAAAGAATCAAAGCGGTCTGAAAAGTCCATAACTATCCCAGGAAGATGAAGTTGAAATTTGGGGTTACTTTTTTAAAACATAAGTTGAGACTTAGATTTAGATACAAGTTCACCTTGATGGGAAAATCTGGGCACCACACTATCAGTTGCTGGTGTGAATGGCTGCCTGGTGGCCATTGATCCCACATGCCCAGCTATTTGTTTATAGCTCTAGAAATGCAGATTCCTCCATGTAAAGCTGACCATTAAGCATAGGCTCTCAAATACCACACGTGGTTCATGAGCATGGGCATTTGTAGAGTATCATGTGATTTCTTTTAGATTAATGTTTTGAAACTTTGTTTTCTTTTAAAGTCCCAGAAGGACAGAAATGTTTCTTTTCCCTTAAAGAATATTAGGTTTTTGAGCTAAGCAAGTGTTCACAGTGTTTATGTGGTGTTTATGTTGGGCAGTGGTGGATACCTCTCAAAGAAGAATTTAGACACAAATAACTGAGTTATTTAAATAAAAACTCAAAGCAAGCCCTTCCCCCTAAAAAGATGTTCCTTAGATGTTAGCTACCATCCTATGTTATCTACTAAAAACGATTGAGTTGGCATAGATGATTGACAAGCTGAATTACACACCACATGCCTGGATTTGATTTTCTTTTTCCCAGAACTGACCAACTGTATTAGCAACTTGCTCTGCCAAGAACAAAATAAATATACTGGATTTTATGATAACTAAATACTTGTCAGTTTGGAGCTTTTTTTTGGTATTTCTTTTACTAGAAGAACGTTATTCAGTATTGTGTCAAACTGTGCAGTGATACTAATGTTTTTTACAGACTGAATATTTTTCAAATAATAGGAAGTACAATCCATTATACCAGGAAATTTGGCTTTCTGAAATGGAACCAAACTAGCAGAATCTAGTCAGAAGCTAATGTTTTTAGCAAAGGAAGAAAATAAATAAAATTACACCTTTGAAATTTTGCTTTAGATTTCTTTCTTGGTGTTTTGAATCTCCCCCCCCCCAATCTTTCTGGTCTAAACAGAAATTTGTATATAGACTGGTTTTTATATGTACTTTTTGTTTTTATGTATGACTATGTTTTTGTAAATGTGCTTTTTGTTTTTGCATATGAACTATGTTTGAGAGACTTTAGTGTCAACGTATAGGGCATTAAACCAGTGAAGCCGAATTTATTAGTTAATTCTTTTGAGAGAATAGGGTGATAAAATCAAATAGATGTAATATACTTTAATGTCAGATTAGTGAAGTACAATTTTCCTTTTTTTTGAGTTGGAGTCTCACTCTCGTCACCCAGACTGGAGTGCAGTGGCCGCTCCCGGCCACTGCAGCTTCCACCTTCCGGGCTCCAGCGATCCTTCCGCCTCAGCCTTCCAAGTAGCTGGAACTACAGGCGCGCGCTACCACGCCCGGCTCATTTTGATTTATTGTAGAGATGAGGTCTCGCCAAGTTGCCCAGGCGGGTCTTGAACCCGTGGGCTCAAGCAATCCACTCACCTCAGCCTCCCAAAGGCGCGGGATTACCGGCTGAGCCACTGAGCCCGGCTGAAGTACAATTTTCTAATGATGAGTTATTGCGACAACTATGAAGGAAGGCTTTAAAAGGGACAGATAATAGTGTCTTTGTATTGGGTGTCTTGAGTGTCTTGGGATGGATTTTGTGAACTTTTAGTTCTCTGATTATAAGTAAAATGTTTCACTGCCTTTTTCTCAATGTTTGTCTTTTCTAGATTGTCAAAAGAGTGGGAAATAGTGAGGAAATGCCAATGATTGGAGACAAAGTTTATGTTCATTACAAAGGAAAATTGTTCAATGGAAAGAAGTTTGATTCCAGTCGTGACAGAAATGAACCATTTGTCTTTAGTCTTGGCAAAGGTAAGAGGATACTTTTTGAGTTGTGTTTTCCTTGTATTTATTACTGTTTGTATTATGTAGGAACAGTAGATCCTATTGCTACTAAAAGTAAGGATATTTTAGAGCAGTAATACCTAAGGTATGGTCTGAGGATCTCTAGGGTTCCCTGAGATCTTTTTAGGGGGTTTATAATGTCGATTATTTCCACAACAATTCTAAGATGTTATTTGCCCTTTTTGTTGTGCTGACACATGCACTGATGGCACAAAAGTTGCGATGGTAAAAACTGCTGACTCCTTAGTATAAATCAAGACAATGACAATACAAATCAAGACAGCACCAGTAATCATGGTATTTTCCAAGCCCACTTGTTCACTGTTTACATAAGGGGAAAAAGCTAGTTTCACTTAAGAATGTCCTCAATAAAGCAGTAAAAGTTATTAATTTTATTAAAACCCACTTCTTGAGTTTTCCATCATTTTGATATTCTGTTACAGAAGGGAAGCATACATACAGCCCTTCTGTATACCAAAGCATGGTGGGTGTCTCAAGGAAAAGCACTTGTGCATTTGCTTTTAGATGAGAGCCAGCTGCATTTATTTCACGAAACACTGTTTTACTTGAAAGGGCAAATTATGATTACTCAGACTTTATTATTCAAAATTTGGCAGGTTATTTTTCCTGAAAATAAATAGAATGAGCCTGTCACTTCAAGGAAAAACAACTGACAATTTTTTTGCCAATGATTTTTCTTTTCTTTTTTTTTTTTTTTTTGAATTGGAGTCTCACTCTGTCACCCAGGCAGGAGCGCAGTGGCACGCTTACAGCTCCTGCAGCGTTGACCTACTGGTAGGTCAGGCAGTCCTTCCATCTCAGCCTTCCAAGTAGCTGGAACTATAGGCTCACGCTACCATACCCCACTAATTTTTGATTTATTGTAGAGATAAGGTCTCACCAAGTTGCCTGGGCTGGTTTCGAAGCTGTGGGCCCAGACAATCCCCTTATCTCAGCCTCCCAAAGTGCTGGGAATACAGGCCGAACCACTGAGCCCAGCTGCCATTGAATTTTCAAGTGAAAATTGTAGTTTTGGAGAATTTGTATCTGCCACTGTGAGCTTTACAACTTTCCAAAATTTAAAAGGCTTGATCAGGAGCAGTAGCTCACATGTAATCCCAGCACTTTGGGGTGAGGGTGGGGGAGCTAAAATGGGAGGATTGCTTGAGCCCAGGAGGTTGAAGCTGCAGTGAGTCAGGATCGTGCCACCGTCCCCTGTTATCTACTAACAAAAATTAATAGGTAACAACCTGAGCAACAGAGTGAAACCCTGTCTCAAAAAAAAAAAAAAAAAAAAAGACTTTTCTGCTGAGATCAGTGGCTATCAATGAATGTGATTTTTAAATTTTTTTTTTTTTTTTTGAGTTGAAGTCTCACTCTGTCGCCCAGACTGGAGTGCAGTGGCCGCTCCCGGCCACCGCAGCCTCGACCTGCTGGGCTCCGGCGATCCTTCCACCTCAGCCTTCCGAGTAGCCGGAATTACAGGCATGCGCTACCACGCCCGGCTGAGTTTTTGATTTATTGTAGAGATGAGGTCTCACTGCCCAGGCGGGTCTCGAACCCACGGGCTCACGCAATCCACTCACCTCAGCCTCCCAAAGGCGTGGGATTACAGGCTGAGCCACCGAACCCGGCTGATTTTTAAATTTTATATAATGAGATGTTTCAACATTTGGAACCAGTATTTCCCAACAACCAACTGGAGATGTTACAAGATTACCTGTGAATAAATAATCCATTTAAAGTTCCAGTAAGACTGGTGGTTTTTTATGGAACACAATATGAAAAGTTAATTGATGCACTTTCATAGTCCACATTACAACTGACTTTTAAAACTTATGACTTATCCAGTTTTGATAGAGCAGGGAATCATATCAAAATTATCTGAATTTACTATTCAAGTGCCTCTACCTTTTTCAGCTGTCATTATGGGTTTGGATTGTTTTCATATTTCAACCAAAATTGCAACAATGAGTGTAGAAGGCAATATAAGAATCTGATTGTCTTGTATTATAAGTCAGACATATTTGTAAAAGTATGAAATAAATGTCTTATAGACCAAAGTGCTTTTTAGATGTAGAAAACACCTGAGGAAAAAAGTTGAGAACTACTGTTTTCAAGTATTAAATGTGATTTTTAGTAATTTCAAATGCTTATTTTAGTTTAGTTTAGTTTTTGAGTCATATTCTCACTCTGTTGCCCAGGCTGGAGTGCAGTGGCACAATCATGGCTCACTGCAGCCTCAACCCCTTGGGCTCAAGTGATACTCTTGCCTCAGCCTCCTGAGTAGGTGGGACTACATGCATACATCTGGCTACTTTTTTTGAGTTTTTGTAAAGAGGAAGTCTCGCTGTGTTGCCTAGGCTTGTCTCAAAATCCTGGGCTCAAACAATCTTTCCACCTCAGCTTTCCAAAATGCTGGGATTACAAATGTGAGCCACACCCAGCCCTCAAATACTTTTAAATGTCTTTAGTTAATTTAGTGTTCTTATATCTTAATCTTGTAAGAATGATGGACTGAGGGTACCTGTATAACGAACATTTGTATACCTGAATTAAACCCCACATCTTGAAAATTAAAAAAAATTAAAAGATAAAAAAAGAATGATGGACTGTACATCAAATTGAACTTTGTAGACCATGTGGCAAATTATAATGTCTTTTATTCTTGTCTGCCACAGACATAACAAGCAGTTCTAGTTCATTCCTAGATTAAGTGTAAAAGGCACTCTATTCTCCCTGTCCTCCACCATGACTCAGTGTTGATGAAATTCCTTTCTCCTTCTGACCTGTATCTAGTTGAATTGCTAACTAAGCATGGATCTGAGAAAGGAAACAGCAAGAGAGGAACTAAGTAGTGAAACTCTTATGCCTCTGTCCTCCTGCCTTCCCTGCCACCCATACCATGTGTGTGTTCCTAGGAATTTTCTTCTTGCCAAGCTCCAGTGCTGGCTAAGTGCGGTGCCACTGCTCCTTTCTCCTTCAGGTCCTTAGTGAGTTAATGGCTCATGTGACATTAATCTTATGTTTAAATAAGATAGCAATCAAAAACAAATACAGAGTTTCCTAGCTGATAATTATACCAGTTGTTTGAGAATTCTTGTTCGTTTTTGTTGATGCAGTGATGTAAACCTTCAGACTACCAGAACAGCTATGGCATCTTTACTTAATCTGGATGACCTCAGAGTCACTGACCTTGTCTGACCTTCTTGTTCCTACGGCTTCCTAAATCCTTACTCTAACCATAGAATTTCTGTCTTTAAAACATTGATAGATTTAAGATAACAGATCATCTCTTAGCAGTTATCTTGGCAAGGAGAATTAAGAATTGTTGAGAACTGATATTGCCACCTTCTCTACCCAGATTTTCTCAGTAAAATACTTTAGTGAATGAGTCTTTTGTTTCCTAGAGTTTTGAGCAGGATAAAAAGACTCTGAGTTCTTTTCTAAAAATCCAAGTTGGGAGAGAAAAGAGGCAACTTTCTGTTGACTTCATACCTATGACACACCTGTCTAGAGCCAGTATAGCCTCATGGGAGAAGCATCTAGCTGGGTGTTAGGAAGGCAGGGTTCCAGTCTTTACTGTTTTCTGTGGCATGTTAACATGAGCAAGCCACTTAATCTTCTCTGTTTCTGTAAAAAGTAGGAGTCTGTAGGAGCTTTAAGCTTAGTCCTGAGTCTATGATTTCATTCTGTACCTTCTGTAAATAACGCAGGAACAAAAACCATGAAAGACTAACACCGAACAAGAGACCTTTAGAGGCCACCTTCAGGTGGTAATTAGAAATATCAGAATGGAGTGATATACTTCTAGCAAAACTTCTATAACATAATGTGTTCACCTGTCTATAAAACAGGAATATTGGTTAGGCAGTTTATAGTTTTATCTTTTTTGTTTTGTTTGAGTCGGAGTCTCACTCTGTCGCCCAGGCTGGAGTGCAGTGGCACGATCATGGCCACCACAGCCTCAGCTTGCTGGGCTTAGGTGGTCTTTTCAACTCAGCCTTTCAAGTAGCTGGAACTACAGGTGTGCACCACCATGCCTGGTTAATGTTTTGATTTTTATTCTGGAGATGAGGTCTTGCCAAGTTGCCCAGGCTGGTCTCAAACTCCTGGGCTCAGGCAATCCTCTTGCCTCCACCTCCCAAAGTGGGATTACAGGTATGGGTCACCACGCCTGACTTGTCTTAAATTTTATAGCAGTAGCTACTTTATCAAAAAGAAGAAAAATAATATAAATGGACACTAGCATAAATATTATCCATTGAACCCTCTTGATACCTTATATTGTACCTCTCCCAAGGGAATAGATAGAAATATTTATTTCAATGGAAATTCATACTAATTTTGAGATTCTAGTTATGACTTCAGTATTTAAAATAGAATTACAAGCATCTGTCTATAAAAACCACATTGAAAAAATACACATATCATAAGGTATATAATGTACACCATTGCTTAGCACTCAGCACAATACATAGCAAGCACTTAGACGTTCATTACTGTTGCTACAGTATTAGGATTATTAACTGGCTTTATAATGGAATGGTAAGAACTATGTTATAACAGTTTGAGTACTAACTCCATCGGTTTACTCCGCATGCATGCAAACCTTTTGCAACAATGCTTAACCATCTTTTTTAGCCCCAGAAAGGTAGAAAAGACAAAAATGGAATCAATCTAAGAGAACTGAAAATTCCCACCATTGAATATGTTTCAGACATTAGAATGAAGTAGTGGCGACTTTCTTTACTAGGTTTTCTTTCTTTTTTTTTTTTTTTGAGTTGGAGTCTTACTCCATCATCCAGGCTGGAGTGCAGTAGCATGCTCACAGCCACCCCAGCGTTGACCTGCTGGGCTCAGGCAGTCCTTCCGCCTCAGCCTTCCAAGTAGCCAGAACCATAAGCATGCGCTACCATGCCCAGCTAATTTTTTTTTAATTTATTGTAGAGACAGAGTCTCACCAA